TTGTCATTTGTCGGTTTCTGAACTCATTGTTGTTCCAAAGGCAACTACATTGAAGGCCATCCGCACTTGAAAAACACAGGAAATTATTGGCCCGGACATGTAGGGTAAAAACTGTTCGTCTTCAGGAAGCCTAACATAAATTTATTCAGACTTCTACCATGCAAAATTTCCCGATACATATACGTTTTGGGGCTGACTAGGGAGCTGTGCAGGTCGTATCTTTATTTCATAATGTATTACTGTCAGAATGCAAAATGCGAATTTGGTGGACGAAGAAAATTTCAATCATCAAGGCGCAGATTTCACATTGCTAACCTTCTGCCCAAAAGCTATTTTACTATCGATCTGAGGAAGAACTTTCTGCGTGGTACAAACTACTAACTTTGATTTATTTACTTTTATAAAAAACAAGAATTGGGCATATGCAAAAAATAAAATAAAGCAATGGCCGCGATTTTAGATTATACATCTTCTAGCATGAAAGCCACATGAAAACGCGAGGTAATAAAGGAAAACGGGTGGGCGGCAACTGAGAGCAAACGCGCATTCAGACTACAATTTATGAGGAAAATCTATACGTGCAACTGCTAATTACAATGATCATAATAAAATGAGTGAATATTGACAATATGACACAACAGATTAAGAAAACAAAGCAAAAGTGAGATGATATCCCGCTTCAATATCACATGACTTTGACTTTTGCAACACCTTTCCCGCAACTGAATAGTCGAAAAAAGTCTAATACGCCCATCCAAGAGCCCATTTACAGAGCGCAACGATCGAACCGATAAGAGGAATCAAAGTGGGCAACATGATGGGGAGGTACACAGCCATCGTTTGATCCTTAGGAAAGTAAAGCATGGCGAGCAACGATGGATGCGAGAGTGCCTCGTCAGCCAGCGTACGGCCTGCAGCTATCTGCAAGAAACAATGGTAGGTCTTAGTATTATAATCAAAACCATCAAGTAACGAAAGTTCTGTCGCACCATTTTCAAAATATCTTGCTTTCTATTTTACCCGAATTTGCTTGCTTTGACTTTTGTGAAACAGTAAATCAGCTCTTCATGAAATATTTTAGCGGCTCTGAGCAACCACTGCATAGGTACAAGCAGTAGAATAATTTTTATTTCTTGAGTTTATTTGTAAAAAATCTGAAAGTTGCCCTACATGGGTTAAAGGAATGTGCAAATGACTCGTTTCAACTTGTAAATAATTAAATTAACTCTTAAAATTATTTGAGAATTCAAATTAGCCTTTTAAAAA